TGTTATCACATAAGCATACAATACATGCTAACATCTCAATCAAGCGAGACAAACCCATTTTGGTACTAACCACTTCCCACGTACCCAAAGTATTCAAACCCGGTAAGCTCTGATACCACGTTGTAACACCCCCAAAATAATACGATAAAGATAACTCATATGCGGAAATAAATATGAGAAACAACACACTTTCATACATCAGAGTTTACTGTTTAACAAACAATTAAATGCCATGTAGGCTTACATCTTTCCAAGCCATTGCTTGGTTACACAAATTGAGTCTCGCTCATAACATCTTAAGCCATTGGCTTTATATATACCAACAAACACACAACAATACATAATTAAGAAGCTCTTGCTTCCCGAAAGTTCATCCACGCTATTGCCTTGGAGGAAGCATTTCATCTGCACCTGAAAAATGGTATTTCCTTATAGAGTGAGCCAATAGCCCTGTAGAAATAATCTAACACAATTTATGAAGTTTAGCAAAGGTATAAATACCACGTATATAAACAATACCGATATGGAAGCATCCACAAGGCCTACACATCCATATGCCACTAAAGTCAATCTTATTCCATTGTTTCTTCAACTCATATCCAGTTCATATGTGCTACTCAATTCATGAGTTAAATTCATTATCTTTCAATCAACCAAAATGTGACTACAACTTAATGGTTCTCCAATTATGCAAAACACACACATAAACACTTCAAACTTACCATTTTACGGATATTTCGGCTAAGGGAACCGGCACCCATTCATTTATAATAGATTTCGGGTCTTTCACTCAGGACACTCAGGCCAGCTTGCTTTAAATGGAGTTCATCCCCTTTCTCCTCCTCAAACAAATTTACATATGCAATGTATTAATAAACATAATCATATATGGAGTACATCCTCTTTCTTCTCCTAATAAACATACATATACAATGTATTTATAACATGGTCATATTATGGAGTACATCCCCTTTCTCCTCCCAATAAACATACATATACAATGTATTTATAACACGGTCATATTCAATGACACCAACCATAGATTAGCATTAAATCGCCTAATCCTCATACAATTTCTACAACAATCATAGCTATCCTCCACCGATAACCCAATACAATTATTTCCAAGATATATTCAATATCGGGTTTAATAGTTTATTCAAAACTTTCATAGGTGAGATAATACATATCCAATATCACCATTTATATCAATAATCATCCAATTTAACATATTCAATGTTAATCCCAATTATTTATACAAAATAATCATTTTATCAAATTAGGGCAAAAATCCCATCTTTTCCAATATTAACCCAAATACCCAAAATCAACTATTTTAGTACACCAAGGGTTTATATTCAACCCCAAACATCATTTATCTCATTACATCAAAAACCCCTCTTTTCATTTTACACCAAAATCTTAGATTTGTCCAAACCACAACCAAATCTCATCATCTATACACAATAGCAAATAACTAAGCTAAAAACCATACTAGAGTGTAGAAAATCCCTACCTCAAGTGTTAAAAACCCAAGCAACAAGGTGGGACTTCAAAGATGACGAAACCTACTTTTACTTAGATCTATACAAAGCTCTTGATGCCTTCTACCTTATTCTCAAAGACACTAGGGTCAAGAACACAATGGATCTAGATGAAATCTTAGAGAGAATGTGAGTTTTAGAGAGAGAGTATAAATACTTGCGTTTTTTTTTGGAGCTTGAGGAAGAGAATGGGCTGCTGAAAGTGACCTAAAATGTCACATTTACGATCTAATATGAACAGGCTCGCTCAAGCGAAGGAGTTCTCGCTCGAGCGACCAGACACAAAAGGCCTCCTTGCTCGAGCGACCAATGCAAAGCTTCAGGTCTACAATGCAAAAGCACGCTCGAGCAAAGGAAAGCTCGCTTGAGCGAAGAACACCAACCTTCAGGTTTTACAGAGACGCAGACGCATGCTTGAGCGAAGAAAAACTTGCTCGAGTGAAGACACATTTTCACAGAGCTCGCTCGAGCGCAAGAAGCCTCGCTCAAGCGAAGAGGTAAATTTCTAGGCAACAAAGTTTTGGAAAAACAAGTAACCAACATGTTCCAAATACACAACTACAACCCAATAACCAACATTAAGGGGAAGACAAGGGAATCAAGACATAAACCACCCCTTCAAACCATACAAACCCGAGTTCGGAACACTACAAAAGACGGGCCAAAACCAGGGTCGCTATAATCTCGGCATCATGACCAAGACATGTGGCACCTCGGTTGGCACTTCGGTGCCACTTTGGCTACGTGCTGTCATTCAAGAAATATGTCCCCACAACTTCCATATTTAAACTTGAAATTAATGCAATGAAATGTTTGGTTTGATTTTTAAAAACTTATTTTAGAAATTTTTTTTCTAAGAAACTAAAAATTAATTTAGTGAAAGAAATTAAAAAATAAAAAACACTTATCATTTTTACTTAATTTTATATTTTGGGAGCCATAAATAATTTTTTAAAATTTAAAAATATTTTTCAATATTTATTTTCATCAAATTAGTTTCTATTATTTCAAAAAAAATTAAAAAAATTTCTCAAAAACAAACTAAACAAGACCATAATCTCACAGATGTATGACCCTCAAGAGATTAAAATAAAAACAGACAAAATCTATTGATATAATTAGCTGAAACGATCAATTCATACCGCAGCACATAAAGAGTCATATCTATTGATATATCAGAATGTTGAAAACACATACTAAACACTGCAACATAAATCAGTTTTTATTTTTTTATTTTTTATTTTTTATTTTTAGCATTAACAAAATTTCATTAAAATAGAAAAGTGAAAGAGGACAAAAAGTTCTCATACAAATAAAGAGAAAGAGAAAGAGAAAGAAAAAGAAAAAGCGCAAAACAAAAGCACAAAACTCCAAATCCTAAGGATGACAAACAGCAGCCCAATCCCTAGAGATCAAAAACAAAAGAACTACTTTAAAAGGAGGGGATACAAATGTCTATAAAGAAGCCAAATATTCGGCCTTTTTCCACAAAACCTCTACACTTGCTTCCTTGCCATCAAAGATTCTAGCATTTCTCTCCAACCATGGCTCCGTTTGGTGTAGTTGTTAAAACATATTATAAATTATAATTTAACAGATTATAGATTATGACTTTAATCAGAAACTATTAATTTATTTAGTGTAACTGTTGGATTATAGATTTAAATTACTGAGTAGTTTTTGTTAAATAAATTGTGAAGTAGTTTTTTGTTGTGTAAATGTCTTTTTTACTCTTGTCTTTTTCTCCTTATTTTCTTTTCTCTTTTTTTTCTTTGTTAATTTTGTTTAATTTCTTTTCATTAGTGGAAGTAAATTGTATTTTTTTTTATTTTTTATTTTTTTTTTATTACACAATGCCAATTAATAATATAAAAATTGTTAATGGAAGTTTGCCCTTATATAAAAATTAAAAAATTAAATAATTTATTATAAAAATTATTCATTAAATACCAATCATTCAGTAATTTTTTAATTTACCAATTTTTTAAATTTATTAATTCTTTTATTCTTTTTTAATTTATTAATTTTTTTTGTTAAAAACCCTAATCCCACCGTCGACAGCTCCCTCATCATCTTCATACTTCCACTGCTAGCAACCCCTTTTTCTCTTCCTTCTCATCCTACTACCGGCAGCCATCGATTGTCACTCTCATTGCCGCAATCGCAATTAGTGTGAGATCGCAAAAGAGAAAGAGAGAGAAGATATTGCAGAAGAGAGAGAAGAGATCGCGATCGTCACCGTTAGGCTACGGATTGAGATCGTCACTGGCGACGCTAGGGTTTTAGATCGATCGCGATGGTTAGGGTTTAAGCTCTGGTTCAGATCGCTCATTATGAGCGATCAGAGAACACCGGAGAGATAGATAAAGAGAGAGAGAGCTCTGGTCGCCGAAAATCGCCCTAGTTCGCCAGAAATCGCCTCGGTTCGCTGGAAATCACCTCTCTCGTTTGTGTGAGAGAGAGAGAGAATGAGTGTTCTTGGTTTATATACATGGCACATTTATAATAACTGGAAATTGTGAAGAGCATTTAAGTAATTTCACACCCCTTCGCATAATGTCACTTGTAGAAGCTGCCTGGAGCAGCTTCTGATTCTCAGCTTATTTTTCTCTCAAAAAAACTCTTAGAAGCAGAAGCAATTTTTTCAAAGCTAGACCAAATAGTCCAAAATTACTTTTTTGGAGCTAAAATTTTTAAGTTGGTCCAAAAGAGCTAGACCAAACACCCCCTATATAACTCAGAAAATAGCAAAAACAATGCTTGTTCACATTTGTTTTGGCTCTCTTGGTTCTTCCAAACCTTTTAAAGATAATAAGAAGCATTTGAATGCAGTCCCGCGAAGCAACCCACAACTCATCACATAAGCCGAAAAGACACTGCGATAATACACCAACCACCTCCGAGTGCCTCTTGCACATCACACACCAATAAGATTCTATCATAATAGTTACACTACCACTACCTGAATGCAACTGTACATCACTGTTGCAACCCCTCCAAGCTGCACCCAAATTTCAAATGAAGATTGTGCTCTCCAGATGAACTGTAAACCAACGGATAAAAAAGATAATAACATGTCGGATGAGAATTTTCGCAATAAAATACTAAAACCCTGGTTTGCGCTCGCAGTCTTTTTAAATCAGCAATGTTTTTTACAGTTACATTTGCAAGGCTGGTAGATAGTTGATTTATACATGGGATTTCCTGCTCAAACTGAATTTTTGCAGTTAGTTGACTCTAATTAACATGCTTTCGGCAGCATCAGAGCAGTCTTTCGTGAATGGTTGGTTATCTGTGCTCACCACAATTACATGGGCATGTTATTGGGTCGATGGTTTTGCATATAAGATTGACATGGTATTTCATTCAGTTTAGATGCAACTCGGATCAAAGGCCAGGAAAGTAACAGATGTGAAGGACAGAGACAGCCTCTTCATGAAATGAGAAAAAATAAAATAAAATGAACACGTAGTAAAACATTAAAATTGGGGAGAGTCGCAAATCATTTGACATTAGAGGCCCCTCAAGGGGCAGGTACATTTAACTACGCTCACAAACCTCTCTTCACAAACGAAGGAAAGGTTACCAATACTTCCTAGAGGAAACAATTAGAACAAAATTGTAGAACAAACAAGCCTTGCTTTACACCCAGCAGGCCAAAAAAAAAAAAAACAGATCAAGACTTCAACCTAACCCATGTTACGGCCCTTCAAACAACAATTTTCACAGCCTTTTTCTTCTTCATCAAATCAGCTTTAGATTCCATCTTCACAGGCAGTGGAGCAGAAAACACAAATTTCCCATTTTCTCCCTCATAGTGTCCACTAATCTCATAGTTTTCTTCAGCTCCCAAATTCCTTCTAGGGTTTCTTTCACTGCCATCCTCTGTATGTGCTTCATCATCATCCTGACTTCCATTAGATAAACCCCCACTTTCTTCAACTTCTCTACAAAGATTGTCCACAAGCTCTCTCTCCTCATCAATTGAAACACTCCCATCACTGCTATTAGTATCTCCACTTGAAATTGGCTCATGGGCACTTAGAAAAACCCTAGAAACATTCCCATTGTCTGCAAAGCTCACATTTTTCTTAACTTTGGGTTGAACCCCACCTTGCCTCTTCACCAAACCCCCTTCTCTATTGTGGGAAGCACTAACATTTCCATTGATAAAAATTCTAGGGTTTTCAAGCTCAATGCCTTCTTCTTCTTCATCATAATCATCCTCAGAAACTCTAGAAAACCCATGAATTTTCTCAACTCGGCCCCGCAATTTCTCCACCAAAACTCTCTCATCACCGGCCATCTCTCGAAAATCAGCAGTGCTGATCTTTTGACCACCATACAAAACCCTAGATTTGTTACCAGTCCTACCAAATCTCGCATTCTTCAATTCTATGCTTGAAATTTCACTTCTTTTCTTCGAAACCCCATCAATAAACTCTATGAATCGAATTATATCTATGCGAATCGATCTTTTACCATCCCTAATCATCGGATCACCACCCTGCATACAAACCCATGTCAGATCTCCGACTGAGTAAATACAAGCAACAATATATATATATATATAAATGATTGTTTGTTAGGTACCTGAATAGAGTCGAGTTTATGAAGCAAGTTCATGGCCCTGCGAGAGAAAGCTTGAGAATGGAGGTGGGCATTATCGACAAAGGAGGTCTTGAAAGAATTGAGAGTGGATTTGACGGAAGCGAGGTCTTTGAGCTGACGGAGCGTTCGTGATCTGCGAACCAGGAAAGCTCTGAAGTGGGTTTGGATGGTACGGGCGGCAGCGTCACGGCGAGAATTAGAAGCAGAATATTGGCGGCGGAGAGAGGATTCGAGGGCGGCGATGCGGCGGAGAAGAGAGGACACAATGGGTTGGGTCCGCGTCTGGGTCTGCTGGTGGAGTTGAAACTCTTCTTGATACTTGCGTTGGTGGGTCGGCAGTGGTGGGTGGTGGAGGAAGGTTTCGTGAGGTGGGTTGAGATAGGGAGAGTGGCAGTGGGATTGCGGAGGAGGAGGGGGGTGGTTGAGGAGTGGGTCTGGTGCAGGAGGGGTACAGCAGGTGGAATAGTGGCAGTAACAACAGGCGGCGGCTACTGGTGGTGGGTGGTGGCAGTGGTGGTGGTGGGAGGCCATTGGAGACGGGTTAGGTTTCAGGGCTTCAAGCATGTGGGAATGATTTGTAAAGTACAAGTGATTTGACTGAAATTGGATTGAGCCCCCGTTTGGACTTATTTTTTTAGTTAATTAGTCAAAAAAAAATTATTAAATTAGTTAAAAAGTTAACAATTTATATTAAAAAGTTAAAAAAAAAAAAATTCTCTATTTTTTACATATTTTTTCTAATTAGTCAAAAAGTCATTCCAAACATATAAGGCTCCGTTTGGTAAGACTTTCTAACTATGATTTGAGAATATGAGTTGTATTTTGAGTTTGTGTGTTTTGAAATTATGATTTAAGTGTATAAAATTTGTTTGGTTATGATTTTTGAATAGAGTGTTGAATTGAGTTTTGAATTGAGTGTGCAATTAAGTTTTGAAAGTTTGATTTGACATGTAAAGTAAGAAAATTTGTTTGGGAAGAGTTTTCAAAATTGCGGAGAAGAGAGGACACAATGGGTTGGGTCCGCGTCTGGGTCTGCTGGTGGAGTTGAAACTCTTCTTGATACTTGCGTTGGTGGGTCGGCAGTGGTGGGTGGTGGAGGAAGGTTTCGTGAGGTGGGTTGAGATAGGGAGAGTGGCAGTGGGATTGCGGAGGAGGGGGGTGGTTGAGGAGTGGGTCTGGTGCAGGAGGGGTACAGCAGGTGGAATAGTGGCAGTAACAACAGGCGGCGGCTACTGGTGGTGGGTGGTGGCAGTGGTGGTGGTGGGAGGCCATTGGAGACGGGTTAGGTTTCAGTTTCAGGGCTTCAAGTATGTGGGAATGATTTGTAAAGTACAAGTGATTTGACTGAAATTGGATTGAGGCCCCGTTTGGACTTACTTTTTTTAGTTAATTAGTCAAAAAAAAATTATTAAATGAGTTAAAAAGTCAACAATTTATATTAAAAAATCAAAAAATTTATTTTCTCTTTACTTTTTACATATCTTTTCGTAATTAGCCAAAAAGTCATCCCAAACATATAAGGCTCCGTTTGGTAAGACTTTCTAACTATGATTTGAGAATATGAGTTGTATTTTGAGTTTGTGTGTTTTGAAATTATGATTTAAGTGTAGAAAATTTGTTTGGTTATGATTTTTGAATAGAGTGTTGAATTGAGTTTTGAAGTGTGCAATTAAGTTTTGAAAGTTTGATTTGGCATGTAAAGTAAGAAAATTTGTTTGGGAAGTGTGTGGGTAAAAATCTGACCACACTGCCTGCTTAGTGATCAACTGGAGAGCACAGGCAGAATAGATGGCTTCAGCAACCTGAAACAGAAAGAAAAGGCTCCGACGGTGGTTCTTCCACCCGGGGGCACTCCGACGATCAAGTCAGTATATCTCTCAAAGATAATCAAGTGCAAAACTTAATACTCAAAACATAAATTGCATACCTTAGACCCACGGGGTGCCTCTCTTTTATAACATACTCAATCCAAGTCCCACTTGAAGTATGACTTCTATGAACTCCAATTTTAGTGCTTACTTTGGACTCTTTAAGAGATAAAGATAAACTCCCTAAGAGCTTTTATCTTTATCTTAGTTAAGTTCCCTCTTTGCCTTAGGACTCTTGTCCCTTATCTGCTTATCTCGGATTCCGATATCTTCGGGAATAACCTCGGCAACTCCGATATCTTCTCGGCTTAACTACCACGACACGTGGCACCTCGGCTGACACGTCGGCGTCACCATGCCACGTGTTGGTATTCAGAAAATATATCCCCACATAAAATTACATTAGTGATATAAATACTCGAAAAGAATTAAATTGAAATAATATTTTTTACTAAAAGCAAAAGTATAATTTTTTAAAAATTGGGAGCGGTACGTGACCCTGGCGTGTCTAATCATATCATACTATATAAATCAGTCTTTGTCTTTTTAATTATATAATAAAGATGAGTTAACATATTTTAATCATAAAATTCTATTACATGAGTAATTTAAAACACCACATAAATATGTGAAACGGTCTACTCTAAAACTTTATGCATATATAAAATTCATACACAAAAATTAAAAATAAAAAGACTTACAACAACTGTCTGTCATTTGTCTGCGCCGTCTGACGCCTGCGTTGCTCTAGGCGTAATAATTGCCCTAATTTTGCCGCCGTTTCAAATTTTTGACAAAACTCTTTTTTGCCTCTACTTTTCCTTCACTTTTTCGTTCTGGTTTCTTGCTCTTTCTCTTTCTGAAAGCTTTCTCTTCTTCGAACCTGCCATTGCTTCGATCTCTCTTCTTGAACTGTCCTTAATCTCCCATTTTTGTGAAGCTTCCTTTGCTGTTGCAACTGATTTCTGAGCTCGGCGAACATTGCCCCGGCTTCATTTGTTTTGGTAAGACCCTTTCCTTTAATTCTTCTATTCTCTTTATGTGCTTTTACCATTACTGCTTTGTTGCTCGATTTCTCCCATACTTTGAACACTTGTACTGTTTCAATATTTTTCTTGCCATAATTCTTGACCTTTATCCCTTTGTATTCTTCGTGTTTCTGATAGTCCATCTTTGTTCTTGAATCTGAAACTTCGTCTTTGTTTTCTCTTTTTTGTATCTGTCCCAGATCTGTGCCTTCGATCTTGATCTTTATAGTTCTTAGGTTTGGGATTTGTGCGTAGAACCTTCAAATTTAGGGAAAACTGAAACAAGCCTTATCAGCTCTTTCCTAGATCCTTGCCGAGGTTCTTGTAACCCTTCTTAAAATCGCCCATCTTCTAAAACATATTTTAAGCTGACATAATGGGTATGTGGAGGCATAGGGTAAATACCCCAACAAAACTTGAATACTTCAGGCAAGAATTCTCTATCCCAGCCGATGTTCACCTTAAGCTAGCTGGGGATAATGATACCATCATGCCCACAGATCATACAATGCCTTTTCCTATAGTAGCTTTTACCGAATGTGGACTTCGGCTTCCACTTCATCCCCTTTTTCGTGAAGTTCTTTATTTCTACAGGCTGAACCCCATGCAACTTACTATCAACTCATATAGGGTGATTAACGGTATTATAGCTTTAGCTAGGCAGGAAAATCTTAGAATTACCCTGGCCGACCTTCAGTACTGCTATACCATGTGTCCCCTCAACCTGAAGGATAGGGGCTTCGTTTATTACCTTAAGTCGAGATCCACCCAATTTAAAATTGTAGCCGACCTTCCAGACTCCAACAAGAGGGCTGGAGATGACTTTGTTATTGCGTTAGGAAATTGGGAATTTGGCCCAGACGAAGATGTCCACCTCTACCCTCTTCCTCGAACAATTTCAGAGGGCAAAGGTAAGAGCCCTGAGCCAACACTTAGTTGTTTTTTTTTTTATTTAAGTCTTTAATACTTTCTGTTTCTAACGTCTGTTTGTTTTTTGTCCTGCAGATCTTCATCAGCCACCGAAAAACTTCCGCCAATCCTTTTTCCCAGGAATAGATCTAAAAAAACTCCTTGACCTTCCAGTCCACAAACGAAAAGCCCCACTGTTACTAAACTTTATCCCTACGTATAAATCCACTTTGCCCGACATCCTAAAAAGGAAAAAAAAAGTTTGTCTCCACCTACTGCTACAACTTTAACCGCTTCTTCGTCCCGAACAGATCAAGGATCCACCTCTGACCCAGCCGATCTTCCATCAACTTCGGCCCCCTACTTAATACCAATTCCGGAGCGTAAACGTCGATGAAGACTTGTAAAGACTGCCGAGATGGTTCGTCCAAGGCCTGTTGTTCAAGATCTTCTTGCCGACCTTCCAACTGATGCCGAAGCTGTACCAACGCAGTCAATGCTCCCACCAAAACCAAAGAGAGTTAAAAAGGCTCAGCCCAAGGCCAAGGCTACAGATGCCGAGGCTGAGGATGCTTTGCCTATTTCTAAACTAGCAGAAAACAAAAAATCAACCTCTGCTGCCACCAGAGGTCTGCTGAGGGCCAACCCTCAGGGTCTACACAATCTAAGAGGCCAAGGTCATCGTCCGCGACGACCTCGTCGTCAAAGAAGCCCGACGTTCCATGGGCTCTTGAACTAACTCTGGAGGATAGGCCTATCATGGCCAGTGAAAGTGCCGACGATATTAACGTTGGTGTCGCCCTCAGCACTACTCTTCTCCTTCCAAATGATTTGGATCGAAATGCTAAGCTTAGTGAGTATGAGAATTACGCTCTCATGCTCCAACACTCCGTTCAAGTAAGTGTTCCTGTTTGTACTTGCGATTTTTCCTTCTGTTTCCTACTGAAAATATTTTCTAACACTTCTGTTTTTCCTCAGGCCATTCAGCACGCTCATTCATTTTCAATGCAATCTTTTGAAAACCGGCAAAGATTGGTTGATATGAAGAGGGAAGCATCTTCCATGAAGAAGGAGATCAGATCTCTGGAATCAAGGATGAAAAAATTGGAAGATCAGGCCGAGGCGGCTACTAAGGCCCAAACTTTAGCCCTTGAGAAGGCCGAATCCGCTGAGGCCGTGAAAAAAGTTGCTGAGGCCGAGAAAAGAGATGCTGAGGCTAAGAAGGCCCAGGCGGAGAAAGAACTTCAGCAAGCTCTGGCCACCAAAGAGGCCGAAGTCAAAGAAGCCGACGAAAAGGCCTATGCCCAGGGCATGGCCGACGTCGCAGAGGACTACAAACTTCAAGTTAGGCAGGCATGCAACAGGGGATTTTCCCTTGGTTGGATGTCCCTGATAAAGAAGCTTGATCTTCCTGTGGACTCGCCCTTTCGAAATGCCGATGTCATTCCTTTACCATTTCCCCCACCTCCACCTGAAGGCGAATCAGAGTCTGAGGCTGATGCCGAGGATGAAGATAAGGAAACCAATGAAGAAGCCTTGGTGAGAAAACCCAAGGATGCCGTCGAACCCAAGTCCCTTCCTCCACCTGAGCAAGTTACGGACTTAACCTTGGATGAGGAGGGTGATGAGGCCAAGGGGGCAACTAGGGAAACTACTACTGGGCAGTTATCGTCCAATCTTCTCTTGATAGAAAGAAGTGTTGAGACAACAATCGCAGAGATTGATGCCGAGATACAAGCGGAAAAAGTGGCCGACGAGGTTCCACCAGAATCGTCCGAGGTCCC